AGGAGGAGAAGAAGAGGAGGAGGAGGAGGAAAAGGAGGAGGAGGAGGAAGGAGGAGGAGAAGGAAAAGGAGGAGGAGGAGGAGGAGGAGAAGCAACATGGACTTCAACTCCCAGAATTCCCCAGCCAGCTGTAGCCTTTCAATGATACTTTAAGGCTCTAGTCCTTATCCTTTCAGAGCCACACTTGTAAGAACTTCTGTTTAGACGCTCAGCAAAAACAACAGCCCCTCCCCAGATCGGTGCGTCTCTCAGTTTTGGTAACGACGGGAAGGCCATCAACCCGTTTATATTAAAATATGCGCTTATTTTTTTTCCTTGGATCTGTCTTTCTTCCTGTCTTGCAGCCCGTACAGTTTATGCAAATTGCACCACGCTATATAAACTACGAACTGGATCCATAATAAATAATCTTTCTCCCTGCCTTCTTTCACAGATCCATCTGCCCCTCAAAATTATATCATTATCATTCATAACAGATACATAATGGGGGAAGGGGGGAGCGCAAAATAAAAAGAAAAAACAATCCACATGGCAACAGCATTTATTTCTAATTTGGTGTTTTGTTTCCTCTGGATTTTTTATTTTTTTGATTCTGTTAATGCAAGAGGTTGTTTCTGTCTTTATTGGGAGTGCCAGAAGTGATCTTTCATAGGGGAGAGAAAAAAAATTGTAATACCCCAGCCAAGGGCGTACAATATTTCAAACCTCTGTTCCTATCTCAGCTTCATTAACTGGATGGAGCAGATAAAGAGAGGAGACAAAGGGAGAACGAATTCCTGCCAAGTTAGGATAATCCTGATTAAAATGCAGAGGGTGCATACAGCTTCAGGTCTCGGATCTGATTATAGGATTAAAAGGAATGAAGGGGAAAAAAAACCCAAAAAAATGGCACGCGGATTTGAATTACAAAGTTCCAATCAATATCATCCGCTAGTATTTTTTCAAAAGCTAAATAGGGAATAATGAGGGGAAGGCAGTGCGGCATCAAAGCTGGAGCTGCCATTTAAATTTTCATGACTCTCTTATCGTCTAATCAGAATGCTTGTGGAGTCCTTTGTGTCAGTGTTATATGTGGAAATAAAATATATATTTGCCTGTTACACCTAAGAAAGCATAGAACCAAAGGGACTCCATTTTTGTTTAAGATGTGACCTTCTAGAATGATTATTGGTTATATAGAACTGTATCTAACAAACAAATTATGTTTTGTAACTTGTTATGTTGTTATGTTCTGAAGTAAAATGTCATGTTCCTTGGCTGGAGTGCGGGTTTGTACAGTTTTGGCTTGAGAATTAATGTAAGAGATGCTAGAGTCATTCTGACCTGAATGGAAACTGGTTAATGATCCATTGTGTTCAGAAGAACTTTAACAGGAAGATGCCATGAGGACAAGGGTGGTTTCCAAAGAAAGGGAAACAGGTGGTATGCTATGGGTGTGGCGCAAGGAGATACGTAGTTGGATAGATTGTGAACCCAGGAAAGGGGCAGACACTGCATATTTGAACTTGTATATAAAACCCCAGCTTTCCTGGAGATGTTTTCTGCTAGCAGAATTCTCTTTTGCAAAGGCTTAATAATAAAGCTCTTGTTTACTTTCTCCAGTTGTGTTTTGTGATTTTTCTCACAGTCAATGTGTGTGGGGGGGAGAGGGGGGATAGGTGGTGTGTGTGTGTGCATGCGCGCATCTGCTGTTTGGGGTGTTTTCAGTGGTGGGATTCAAATAATTCAACAACCAGTTCTCTGCCCTGATGATTTCTTCCAACAACCAGTTCACCAAACTGCTCAGAAAGTTAACAACCGGTTCTGGTGAACTGGTGCGAACTGGCTGAATCCCACCACTGGGTGTTTTTCCTTAGAGCCATGATTTCCATGAAAGCTTATTGGGATCCTTGGTGCGCTCTGAGGTTGGTGGGTTTCTGGCAGACGTTTCACGACCCAGCTAAGTATCACCGTCAGTGCTGCGATGGGGAATGGGGTGGAAATTGCCCTGCGGATGATGTTAACACAAAACGTCTGCAGGAAAAAAAAACCCACCAAACTCAGGAATGCACTAAGGATTTCATGGTCCTCCTGCCCCTCCTTTACTCCTTCTCCTTCATTCCTAGCACTGATGCTGTTGCCTAGTTAGGTCATGAAATGTCTGTGAGGAAACCACCATGCTCAAGAGGGCACCAAAGATCCCAAGGTCATCCTTTCTCCAAATGAGGACCCAGATTATTGGGGGCAAGAGGCTGACTTTGTAAACTGCTTAGAGAGAATGGCAAAGCACTGTGAAGCTATATATAAGTCTAAGGGCTATTGCAAGACCTTCCTTCATTTCTTTACTCCTTCCTTCTCTCTCTCCCTCCTTCCTTTTCATTTACATTTCCTTTTCATTCTTTCTTTCTTTCTTTCTTTCCTTCCCTTCTTTACTTCCTCCCTCCACCTTCTCTCTCTTCCTCCTTCCTTTTCATTTACATTTCCTTCCTTTTCATTCCTTCCTTCCTTCTTTCCTTTACTTCCTCCCTCTTTTTCTACTTCCCTCCCTCCTTCCTTCCTTTTCATTTACATTTCCTTCCTTTTCATTCTTTCTTTCCTTCCTTCCTTTCTTTAGTTTTCATTTCCTTCCTTTTCATTTCATGTCATTCCTTTTCATTTCCTTCCCTTCCCTTTCCTTCGTGCAGTGGTTAGAATGCAGTATTGCAGGCTAATTCTGCCAACTGCCAGCAGTTCAGTCCTGACCAGCACAGTGTTGACTTCCGTCCTTCCAAAGTCGATAAAATGAGGACCCAGTTCATTGTGGGCAAGACAGTGTCTCTGTAAATGGCGTAGAGAGGGCTGTGAAGCACCGCGAAGCGGCATAGAAGTCCAAATGCTATTGCGACGGCTTTTGCAACATTCTGTGATCCCAGTTTGGGCGCTGGCATTGACATCTCCCTTTTCTCTTTCAGAGAGCCGTTTGATTTTGGATGCTTTTGCCCAGCAGTGCAGCCGAGTCCTCAGTCTTTTAAACTGCGGCGGGAAACTCCTGGACAACCCCCGCCCTGCGCCACTGCCATCCTGCGTGAAACAAGAGAGCCCGGCTTTTAACGAGAGGCCGGAGCACTGCCAACTTGGCAAAATGGCCCACAGCCAGACTTCCGAACACTTCGACCTGGAATTGCAGTACATGCAGAAGAAGCAGCAGACATCGGCTTTCCTGAGGGTCTTCACCGATTCCCTCCAAAACTATTTGCTTTCTGGAGGTTTCACCACGCAAAACCACACCTCCTCAGCTGGGGATTTTGGCCCTTTGGCCGACATGGAGCCCCTCTCCACCTCTCCGGTTCACACGTTGGGGGGATGGGCTTCTCCAGCGACGTCGGAGTCCCACGGCCACCCGTCGTCTTCCACACTTCCAGAGGAGGAGGAGGAGGAGGAGGAAGGCTACTGTCCTCGATGCCAGGAGTTGGAGCAGGAGGTCATTTCATTGCAACAAGAAAATGAAGAACTCCGGAGAAAGTTGGAGAGCATTCCAGGTAAAAAAACGGACGCGATTGACTTGAGATTTCCAGATAGGATGAATCACCTTCAGGTGATCAACGGAAATGGGCCTGTTTCAGTGGTGGGATTCAACCAGTTCGCACCTATTCGTGAGAACCGGTTGTTAACTTTCTGAGCAGTTTGGAGAATCAGTTATTGGAAGAAATCTTCTTTTGTTTTTTTTCCAGTTTACAGGGCTAATCCTTTAAGGAAGGCAGGGAGGAAATATTCTGGTGTTGTTTCTAGCCTAATCTTTATTGCCCTGCTTACAGAAACTGCCTCTCGGTTAATCCTTAAAACAGCTAAAGGTTCTTGGCAGCACACCCAAACTTACTATCGCCTGAGCTCCAGAGGTTTTTTTTTCTTTTGCTGGTACTTTGCTGGGGCTTCATTTTCTTAAAGGGGAAGGGTTGTTTTAAGCTTTTTACACTGCTGTTGGAAGGAAATACTCCCCTGTTGGAGTTCAGCACTTTGAAGAAATAATTGAATAACAAAGCAGAACTGCCAGAAAGAAGCTGTTAATGACAAGGAACCAAGATGAGTGACAGTCTGATGTCGAGATGGCCACGCCCATCCAGTCACATGACCACCCAGCCACGCCTACCCAGCTGGTCATTAGGTCAGAGAACCGGTTGTTAAATTATTTGAATCCCACCATTGGCCTGTTTCCGGCCTTCAGAGAGCCTCCGGAGCCCGGGGAGGCCATTTTCACCCTCCCAGAGGCCCAAGGAAAGCCTTCGGAGCCTGGGGAGGGTGACAAATGGGCTTCCCAGAAGTTCCCAAAGGCCAGAAGTTATGGGCCTGCTTCCGGCCTTCAGAGAGCCTCCGGAGCCCGGGGAGGCCATTTTTGCTCTCCCGGAGGCTCAAGGAAAGCCTCAGAAGCCCGGGGAGGGTGAAAACTCCCCCCTCCCCCACCATGGTATTGCAAGGAGGCTGACATGCCCATCCGGCAACTGGGCAGAGAACCAGTTGCTAAAATTTTTGGAGCCCACCCCTGAACAAAGAACTCCCCGAAGCCTTTTCTGATCCAAGGGAGGAGTAGAAGGGGGAATAGAGCGAAGCAATGTAGCTACACAGGCAGTCCTCGACTTACAACAGCCATCTTGGCGGCTGTTCGAAGTTACCACAAAGTTTTGGCCGTTTATCAAACGGCTGTTGTAGCATCCCCACAGTCACAGGATCAAAACTGAGACACTTGGGGATGGTCTCACATTTATGACGATTGCGGCGATTCCCCCTTTTGCTGACCTTCTGACAGGCAGTCAATGGGGAAAACTGGGTTTGCTTAACAACCGTGTTCTGATTTAACAACTGCTGTGATCCACTTAACAACTATGGGGAGAAAGGTCGACACATGGGAAGAAATTCACTTAACAAATATTTCACTTAGCAACAAAGGCTCAATGGTGGTCGTAAGTCGAGGACTACCTGTACAGATACTCCTCGACTTACAACTGCAGTGGAGCCCCCAGACTTCCATTGCTAAGCCAGACAATGGTGAAGTGGGTTGCACCCACCCTTCTTGCCACGGTTGTTAAGTGAGCCACTTCCATAACTCTCCCATCACTATTTCCTTCCTTCTC